CTGAGGCTTAGGCTGGGGACCAAAGCAGAGGCAGTTAGGGCCGATCAGGTGGCAGGGGGCCAGTTAGGGGCAATGAGGCATACAGGCAGGAGAGGCAGTTAGGGATGATCAGGCAGGCAGGCAGGCAAGCACAGTGGTTAGGGGCTATCAGGCAGGCAGGCAAGTGGTTAGGAGCCAGTGGACATCCGCCAAGAGGTCCCAGAATGGAGAGTGTGTAGGCCGGGCTGAAGGACTCCCCTCCTATGCACAAATTCTATGCACCAGGCCTGTAATGTGTGTGTGTGTGTGTGTGTGTGGCTAATATGCAAATTGTCCCCTTAGGAGTTCAACCAGGAGACTAGGAGTTTGATTGCTCTCTATGACGTGCACTGACCACAAGGGGATGGCACAGAACAAAGGAAGTCTCTGGCTAGTAGCCCCAGCCGGCAGCCAGAAGGCCCCAATTAGCCCTAATTGCAGGCCAGGTTTAGGGACTCTACCTGTGCATGAATTTCAGGCACTGGGCCTCTAGTTCCCAATAAAAAGAAATGCACTATCAAGTCATAAAAAAAATGATGAAAGCTTAAAATGCATATTGTTAAGTGAAAGAAGCCAATACAGAAAGGTTACATACTATATAATTCTAATTTATGCGACATTCTGGATAAGACAAATCTATGGAGACAGTAAAATCTCAGTGGTTGCTAGGGATTAGAGGGTTGAGCTACTAAGGATTTTTAGGGTGATGGAACATTATGCTTTTGTGCAAACCCATGCCCAGTACAACACAAAGAGTGGGCCTTAATGTAAACTATGGACTTTAGTTAATAACAATGCGTTGACATTGGCTCATCAATGATAACAATTTTAGCACATTAATACAAGATAATAATAGAGGAAACTGGGAGGGAGGTGTCAGGAAACTGATATGGGAACTCTACCATTTCAATTTTCCTGTAAGTCTGAAATTGTTTGAAAACATAGAGACGACGTAATTTTTTTCTACTATCTAGTTCAAAGGTGATGTCAAAGTGAAGCAAAATAGAGAATGTGCCATGAAAGAAATGAAGCTTTAGCTGGGCTATAGAGGGTATGTATGATTTCTAGAGTTAGAAAGGACAAGGAATTTCAGCTGGAATTGAGGCATGATAAAGACTCAGAGGGTTCAAATTGAGAAGCAGGAAATATAACACAGAATAAATCAATGCAAAGATAACAGGCAGCAATTTGATGGAGGCTAGGAACCAAGGCTTACTGGCATGGAAGTAGACTTTACCAGGGCTGTGTCCTCAAAGCATATTCATTCAATAAATATTGAGTAAGCACCTACTATGTTCCCAAAACTGTGTTGTAGTAGGCACTAGGGATAAGCAGTGAATAAAAGAGACAAAACTTTCTGTTCTCACTGAGTTTACATTCTAGTGAGAGGAGACAGAATCTGCCTGGTATTTTCAAGAAATAGCAAAGAAGCCAGTGTGGCTGGAATGGAATGGAGATAAAAGGTGAGATAGAAGAGATAATAGAGGACAGTATGTAAAGGGCACTAAGGCCAGAATAAATAAGGACTTTGAGTTTTAGCCTGAGGCATTTAAGAGAACAATTGGAGGGTTTTGAGTGGCAAAGTGTCTTGACTGAATAAGGTCACCCTCTATTCAGTTGAGGGACCCAGAGAAGTTGGTGCAGTAATATAGGTAAGAGACAATGGGGGCTACACTATGGTTTTACCAGTTCAACTGGTTATAAGTAGATTGTGGCCTCAGAAAGAATTTGCTGATGAATTAGATGAGTGAGAGAAAGATAGAGTCAAAATGAGTCAGTTTTAGGCCTGAGCAACTAATTCGAAGAAAAGGTTGCCAGCGACTGAGAGGAGGATATGGGAGGAGCAGGATCACAACCAGGGTTGAGCCTGAGTCTGAATTCAGCATTCAGTGGAGCTGTCTTAAAGGAGGGCATTTCAAGAGCTAGAGATCAGAGAGAGGCTGAGATGCAGAGTTAACTAGGCAAGACTAAGTCACAGTATACACAGGTATCTAGTATAGTCATGTGGATTCACCGAACATTTCCTAAAATCAGCCACCTTGTATGTGCCAAAGACACAAAGGTGAACAAGATATCTTTCCTGACTAGAAAGAAGTCAGTCCAATTAGGGAAATATAAATATAAATAAGTGATCCTAGTCCATGAAGCATAATAGAAGTAGTCAACATTTACTGAGTCCCTGCCATATGCCAAGCAGTGTGGTGAGGAAGCAGGGGATATGAATAAAATTCTTTAAGAGCATAAAAGAAATTCTTACAAAGGTTAATGAAGCCATTCACAAGGGCTGAAACCGGTTTGGCTCAGTGGATAGAGTGTAGGCTTGGGGTCTGAAAAGTCCCAGGTTTGATTCTGGTCAAGGACATATACCTTGGTTGCAGGCAGTGGGGGGTGTGCAGGAGGCAGCTGATTGATGTTTCTCTCATAGATGTTTCTAACTATCTATCCCTCTCTCTTTCTCTCTGTTAAAAATCAATAAAATACATATTTTAAAAAAAAGACATTCACAAGGATTTTCACCATACTGTGTCATCAGGGAGTTGGCAGTGACCTAGACACCCATCACCAGGAAAATGTATTTGTAAAATCTATGGAATACTCAGCAACAGCTAGAAGCAAAAACCAGATATACTCACAGCAATGTGGATTAGCTCAAGAACGTGGTCCTGAGTGGAAACAGTGGGAAACAGATTTACAGTTCAATGCTATCTCTATAAATGTAAAAGGCATACACAAAACACAACATGCCTTAAATGATCAAGGATCTATATCAAACATGGTTCACTTGGTATCTAGAAAAAGAATGAGAGTAGGGATTGGGAAAGTCGAGGAAAAATAATATTTACAATATAAAATAATATAAATAATAAAAAGGCCTTGCAGGGACTGATGATAATGTGCTGAGACTTGAAGAACAAAGTTAGCTAAAATGTCTGCACCTGAGTTACAATAACTAGATAATAGGAATCAGGATGATAACCCAACAGAGAAGGGTATATCTGGGGGCCAGGAAGGGTGAAGAGACATGAAGGCATGATAGTGCGTCATAGGTTCAGGGAACAGCAGCATGTTTAGTGTGGTTTGCAGTGGTTGTGAAGAGCTGATAATAACGGAAAGCTTTCGGTAAAAGCAACAACAGCCTGCAAATGGAAGGTATTATCATTCTCATCAATCCGTTGCTTTTTACACCACTGGGGTTAAAGATCATGCTGTGCCTCCATTCAGGTTATAGGATTTTATTTCGGCCCTAATGCAGTCTTTGCTTCTGTGACTACAACAGAAACCCTAGTCCAATAAGTCTTTCCTATTTACTGTTGGCTCAAGGAATGTGACCCTTTGGTCTGTTGCTTTTGCAAGTAACACTGATGCTCTAGCTAGGAATGGGGTAGGAAGAGAACTGGAGGTCCAAGGATGCCTCTCATTTGGGGCACTTACTAATACTGGGGACAGTTCACCGTGGCTACCCCAACTCAGTGCTACCAGGTAACTCTCACTGGTCATATTCCAGGTGGAATCTGGCCACCCCTCTCTCATCCCAGACTGGCTGGGTCCTGTGCCACTATCATAGATGTACCTATCATAGCTCTTATCACAGTTGTAACCCCACATTCACTTTTCTGATCATTTGATTTCTGTCCATCTATGCCTCTGGATCCAAGTTCAACGCTGACAGTCTTTTCGTCCTTTCTTTTTTTCTTCACCAATGATTCATTAGTACTTAGCATAGTGCCTGGCATATGGTAGAGGCTTAATAAACTTCTCAGGGGGATACAAGCCTTCCAAAAGCAACCTAGGTTAAGGTGGATCCAATTATACTGCAGAAGTAGGAATGAGAAAGTTGGGGTTTGTTCTTTTGTGGGGGGGTAAGGCGGAAGAGCTGCAAGGAAATAGGTGCATGAGCCCCTATGGATGGGTTGCCCACCCCACTCTTTAGGGAAATAAGCTGCAAGTAAATGAACAAGTGTTTAACACATTTTTTTTGGTATGTCAAGTAAAATTATGGAACTAAATCAAGGGAAGCATATGGGTCGGTGCTGGGTCTGTGGAAAGACTAACATTTCCAAGGGTACAGTCCACAATCCATTGCCCTTCAGAGAACACAGGACGTGTCCACAGGACAGCCCGAAATATCTTGGGGAAGAGGTGGCATTACTCTCCTTGCAGTTGCCATCTTTACTAGTTCAAAGTCTTCTTTAATGATTCACCTTTATTCTTGACCTCTCCCCCCGCCGCCCCCTACACACTCCACCTTCACCTCCATCAAGCTTTGCCCACTTAAAAAAAAAAAAAAAAACTCAAAAAACAAACAAACACAAAAAAACCTCCAAACCGAGCCCGCCAGGGTTCCAAGTGAATGCACTTGATCGCTACGGTAGGCCCTTTCCCACGCCTCCATTTGCCCTTTCACGCAGCCATGGGCACTCGAGCGGTCCCCCAGAGACGCCAGGCGGCCTGACCTCCTCCTTCCGGACGCCTAGCCGCCGCCCTGCCCACCTTCCCGCGTTTCCTCAGAGACTGGGAACCCTGAGTGCCGCGCGCCCAGCGGATTCCAGGTCGCATGCAGCCGATCGCGGGCTGTACGCAGGCGCGCGCCCCGAGGCCCGCGCGGGGAGAGAGAGGGCGGGGATGAGGGGCCGAACCCTGAGGGGCGGGCGGGGGGGGGGAGGGGCGGTGCCGATCACGTGACGCGGTTTCACTGTTTACACGCGGAACGGCCTCAGCCTCTGGCCTCAGTCCGTCGTTCGGCTCCGTTTCGGTTTCACTTCCGGTGAGGGGCAGCCTCCGACTGGCGGCGGGCCTCCGGGGAGAGCGAACGGGCAGCGGTGACGGCGGCGCCTGTGCCGGGGGGCGTGCGGGAGCGCGGCGGCGGCGGCGGCGGCGGCGGCGGCGGCGGCGGCGGCAGGCGGCGGCGGCGGCTGGGCCTCTCGTGGCCGCGGACCACGTCTCCAGGACGGACTCCAGGTGCCAGCAGGGCCGTCGAGAAGATGGAGGAGCTGGTGGTGGAAGTGCGGGGCTCCAATGGCGCTTTCTACAAGGTACTCGGCTCCCGGGCAGGCCCCATCTTCGCCCTGCTTTCCCTCCCTTTTCTTGGCGGCGGCGGCGGCCTGGGCGGGAGGCAGGCCTGGGGCCCTCTGCCTAGCACTGCGCCCTCGGGGCCAGGACGCTCTAGGCGGGATGTTGTTTGAAAGAGAAGGACCCGACTCGGGGCCTGTAGGGAGCCCCTCGAGCTCCGCTTCCTTTCCCGTGAGCGGCCCTGGCGCCTAACAGAACGAGAAGCGAGCCAGGTGGAGAGGAACCCGTTTTGGGGGGCTGAGCCCCGCCAGGGAGAGCTGGGGATGGGCGCTGGCTGGTAGCAGGTTGGAGATCCCTGCAGGAAGGGCCGATATCGATGTGAAGGGACTGCATGGCTTATTTCTCTTTTCCTAAAGATCCTCTCTCCGTGGGATCGGGGCCTGACATGATGGTAGTTGCCGAGGAGCGGGAGGGGGTAGGGGGGGGGCGCTTCTGTGGAGCCACCTTCTGCCTTGCAGAGGGTTTGAAATCTCCTTTGGCTTCTCCTTTTCGGTCCAGCATTGGGACTTCGGAGAGCTCCACCGTTCTGGGCAAGGGAGGTGAAGAAAGAGTAGTAAGAAGCTGCAGCCACTACCAAATCACAATGGCAACTGATTTTGAGTGGCTTCTCTTTGTAGGTTTCGGAAGCGATTTTTAGACCCAAAACTTTCGGGAAAACACTGACATATCCGAGTAATGCATTAAAGAAGTTAGTAATCTTGAATATTCGTGGCCTCTCAACCTCGTTATAAATGTGGGCAAATCCAGGAATAAAGATGCTTCAGTAACTAAAAACATTAGCTGCTCTACCACTTAAAAAACATAATGTTAACCCTCCAAAGACCTAAATATAAGCTATGAAACTTCAGGAAATTAACTGAATGTTACAGGGAATTTTTAAAAATGAGTAAAAATAATTGCTTTATACTTAACTGTCGCTCTGCATGTGCAGTGTTGCAGTGGATTATATTATTGAGGTTTTATATAGGCATGATGGTTTTACTGTGTGTGTGTGTTTTTAAGTTATGCCACTGCAAATTAATATGTTACATTTTCAAAAGGAGGATTTAAAAAATATTTTGAGGTATCAGTAGTGCATCTATTGTTAGACACTAACTCTAGATCTAGTAATCTATAAATTCTTGTTTCCTCTTCAGTATCCTGTAACTTCTGCAGGTAATATCTCACCTTACTACAGTCTTGGCAATAGAAGGTGTGTGTGGCAGGAAGTATGTAAAGTAGCTGTTGCCATTGTCCAGCATGATTCTTAAATTTATTATAGAACACCTTAAATATTTCAAATGAGACTGATATGGCTGAAGGAAAATAAACAATTAACTCAATTATATATGTGCTTACCAATTTTATGGAGATATTTGGAAATCAATGTATTTCATAAGCGAGTAAAGTACATAAAGTGTTCCATGCTTTTAGCAAAAAGATAAAACGTTTTGCTGTAAAGGAGGAAGAAATAACCCAACATTTATGTTCGTAAATCTCACCAATATAAAATTGTTTCTGTTGACTCTGCAGTCGGAATTTTGATTGCATTTATTTTAGGGATCCATAATATCTGCTAGTTAGTTTGTGTAGAATTTTCTCTGGTTCCAAGATTGGCAGTTTTGCTTACTAGATTTATGGTGCTAAGTATTAAATAAGCTTACTAGATTTATGGTGCTAAGTATTAAATAAATATAAGCAGGAGCTAATGGTTGAATAATATTCTGATCTGTGTTATTAGCTTAGATTGGATGCCACTCTTAACAGTCTTGTAGTGGAGTTTGCTTTCTATACAGGGCAAGTAGCACATCCTGGTCTTGAAGGATTTATCATTCTCTTCCAGCAACCTATGATTTGTACCCATGATTTTGCTTGCAAACCGATTGGAGTATAAGAAGCCACCACGTTTTTATACAAGAAAAATAAAGTGAATTAAGCCTGCTAAAAAATGCCCTCTGTCTTTGCTATCAACCCCAGTTGTCTTTTGTTTGTTTGTTTGTTTGTTTGTTTGTTTAACTAAGTTGCTTAATTTGAAGGTGAATAAAACGAATGGGTTGTCCTATCCCATAGTTTCCCGAGGGGAAATTTGAACAAATGTGTGTAATGAAATTGCTGTTTTATTTAGTTAGGATTATTTTTAAGAAAACATCAAATGATCTGTATTGGTGGAAAAATAGTTTCTATAATGAAAAAAGTTTTAAAACTTTTATAGGACTCATTGTTGTGAGTTATAAAAGTAAAACAAAAGTAAACTAAATAGCTTGTCCAGTGGGATTGGCAGAAAAGATGGGACGGACATAAAGACCAATAAAAAATAAACTATTGTGGAGAAATGTTAAATTTATGAAAAAAAGGAACCTGGTTCATTAAATTGAAAGAAAAGGTTTTAAAAACAAAACAACTTCAGTATAATTGAACTCAGACTTTAATTGCCTAACAGAACCACCATATTATAAGGATCAGTTCTTCATCTTCTGTGAGCACATTATAAAGCTTGCAATACAAACTGGATAGATATGGCAACAGTTGAATTATTTTTTTCTAAAAAATAACTTAAGCACAGAATGCAGAATTAACAAAACCATGAAACCTAAACCCTAAGATTGCAACAGCTCATTTCTATATTTTCTTCTGGTGTTTATTTTTAAAAATTTGGAAGTTAGACTTATTAATTGTCAAAACCACTACTATTACGCTTAGCTATTTCTTTGACTTATTAAATGATAGTCATGTGTACAACCTATAGAGCCTTACATTATTTGAGAGATGAAGACATTTTCATCATACTTCACAAAATCTTTATAAAGCAGTTCTAAATGAATAATTTTGAAAATACAGTCTTTATTCTAGGGGCATCTTCCTAAAATTGTCCAGTGGGGGTTTTGTTGTTATTGTTATTGGGTTTTTCTTTTGCTGAGTTATATATTGAGAATAGTAATGAATTAACTCCATTTTAATGTAGAATGTATGTCATTTCAATATGAATATACTAATACACCCCAAGATACCTAGGTTTTGTATACTAGTATGGAAATTACTAAAAATGGATATTGTATGTTGGAAACATAAGATAGAATACCTTTTTGTTTTCTGAAATCACAGGGCTTCTCAAAAAAATGTATACGCACTTTATTTTTGAAAAAAAAATGTATTTTAATAAATACTTCTTTATAATTATTCAAAGTGTGCATATACATTTTTGGAGGACACCTTATATACTGAGTGATAAGTAATATTGTGTAAATATAATAAATTACATTCTTATTGCTAAATTATATTTTAATATATTTTATGTTTTTAAGTTTGGAATCTTAGGATAGACTTTAATTTGGTGAATAGTGATATGGAGCTAGCAGCTAAAAGATGGAAAAATCTACGATCCAGGAATTTTTTATTTTTTTTACTGAATCCATAAAGTGGTCCAACATGTCATATCAACTAGATACCTGCTAGACATCACTGTTTTACTAAACTTGCATAAGGCACTATTCATGTTTTCTCTGAAGTCTCTAGACTTAATTTTGCATGCCGGTGATATTCTGTACTTTGAGGAAATAAATTATTCAACTCAACCGCATTTTTTTTCTTCTGAGAGTCTAAATAATTTTTTTAATGTGCAGTATCTTTATGGATGTATTATTTCCCCATTTTAAACTGTTTTTTCCAACTTCATACTCAAACATTCTGAAAATCTCCAAATAATGAACTAAATAGAAAGTTCAGTGTTGTAATAACTGGATTTCTTATTCCTGCCCTCTATGGAATGTATTTATTGATTATGATAGCTACTAACAGATGTTGAGAGCCTTCTAGGTGCCAGGCACTGTTCTTGGTGCTTTAGCTCTGTTAATTTATTTAATATTCTTCCATTCTAAGGTACTGTGGTTCCCATTTTATAGATGAGACCTATTATTAGCTAGAAGGGTCAGATATGAGATATGAGATCAGGTAGTCTGACTTACTGAAGTGATGAAATTTAGTTTGAAGAAATGAATTGGATTGGATTTCCTACCATTTTTTTTTTTTACTTCACTGTAATCTTTTATTGTATTTACTAGAGGCCCCTAGCAGGAAGATTCCTGCTGCAGTCTCTGCTGCCCGGCCTGCTTCCCTCTCTTCTCTCCGACCCTGCTTGTTTGCTTCTCCACAGCTTCGCTCCCTTTTGCAGTGCTTGGCTTCTTTCTATGCTGTCTTCAGTCTTCTCTCTGGCCTGGATATGCAAACTAACCACCATCGTGGTTGGGTTAATTTGCATACTTGCCCTGGTTGGCTGGTGGGCGTGGCTTTGTGGGTGTAGCGAAGGTATGGTCAATTTGCATGTTTCTCTTTTATTAGAGAGGATTGTTGTAACACTGCCTTAGCATTCTCTAGTAAGTTGAATATATTTTATTGATTTTTTACAGAGAGGAAGGGAGAGAGATAGAGAGCTAGAAACGTCAATGAGAGAGAAACATCAACCAGCTGCCTCCTGCACACCCCCCCATTGGGAATGTGCCCGCATTCACTGTACATGCCCCTGACCGGAATCGAACCTGGGACCTTTCAGTCCGCAGGCCGACGCTCTACCACTGAGCCAAACCAGTTTCGGCCATTTTTTACTATTGATATAAAATGTCATGATATATAAAATGTTCAACTAATGTATGAGTTTCCTTTTTATGCACTCTTGCAACTTGAAATATTACACTGTCATTCTTTGTATGAATGCGTGTGCCCTGACCTGAAATGTAACCCTTACCTTCTGGTTTATTGGTCGATGCCCAGCCACTGAGCCACATCAGCCAGGCTGAATCATATTTTATCACATATTTTATCTATCCTCTATCTCTTACAGGTTTTCTTTTGAAGGATTATTTTATAATGCTCTTAAGTTTTTTTCTAGTGAGAATTATTATCACTGAAGAGAGCACTGCACTGTATGTGCTCTCTTCAGTGATAATATAGAGGTAATATTTATTAGTGGTCAGGGGCTTTCAATGAAATT